CTGGGAGAGGCAAGCTGAAAAGATGAGGAACTATCACCTTCTCCTTCTAGCACCTGCTAGGGATATCACTCTGGGTGAAGCAGGCCACTATATTGTGCCTAGCTCCTGGGCAGTAGCACAGAGGTTCTCCAAGGCAAGAGGCAAGCCAGGAGGATAAAGAGCTTTGCAGTTCTTACCCAAAGTAGTGACTTTACTTGGAACAGAAAATAGAGAATTTCATGCCTAAGGGTGTTGTTGAAAACCATGGAGAGCTTGGTAGAAAGAAATAAAGCAGGTGCTGGTAGCTTCATGACACTGCTAGCAACAAGCAACATGGCAGAGCAATCAGAAGTTTAACAGAAGAAAACATGGAAAGAAATAACCAAGAAAAACCCTCCTGGGATCACAGTAAACCCTGGGGTTTGGGAAGGCTATGCTCATATTCCTACTCAGGAACAATCAAAACAGGACATGGGTCAGATTGAAAACATTTCCCTAGCTGCACACAGATCAACCAACAAAAGACAGAAGCCTCACTGGCACAAGAGGCTGAAGCAGAGCCTCTGACCAAAGACTGGTTGAAAAATAAGCCATTCTGACACAAGGGAAAATATTATTAAGCCTGGCTTAATAATAAAATCACATGCATCCTACTAGGCTGGAAGACTATGTGCACGCACAAGGCTGAGCCCTCTCAAGATTGACTGGAGAGGGATCTTCCAACGTACTAGGCCCTGGCTGAATTTGGGGCAAAAATATTAACTCCTTAAGTTTCAGTAATAGCCTCCAAACCACATAAACATCCAATAGTAAAGGGCAAAAATAAAACTGGCTAAAGGAACCTAAGCACAACCATTGACAAATATATTTTTTATAATAATATAATTAAATATAATAATATAATTAAATAATATACAAATGTATAAGCCACAGACCCAGGGGTGATTCCTAGGGGGCCAGACTAAAAGTAAGAATAAGGGAAAATCAATCTGAACAGGGACATCAGAATCTATACACTGAGGGCGAAAGAGACTTCACAGAGTTAGTACAACCAGGTCACTAAACAAAGGACAAGACAAGCAGCAAAAACAACAGCAACCTCCAGTGGACAGGAGAGGGGAAGGGAGAAGAATCAGCATCTAGAATTTCTAGAATATACAATTTAAAATGTTCAGTACTCAATAAAAAAAATTATGAGACATGAAAAGAAATAGGAAATTGCAAATGGAACACAGGAAAAAAAGCAGGCAATGGAAATTCCCTCTGAGGGGGCCCAACTGTGAGACATATCAGACAGAGATTTTGAAGCAACTATTATAAATACGTTCAAAGAACTAAAGGAAACCATACTTAAAAAATTAAAGGAAGCATGATGACAATGTCTCATCAAATAGAGAATACTGATAAAGAGATAGAAATTATACAAAAGACCAATTGGAAACTCTGGTGTTAAGAAGTATCATAACTGAGAAGAAAAATTCAGTAGAGGGGATCAATAGTATATTTAACCTAGCAGAAGAAATAGTCAATGAACTTGATGATAGATTGATACAGGTTATGCAATCTGAAGAACAGAGAGAAAAAAAGGAAGAAAAATGAGCAGAGCCTCAGAGAAATGTGGGACACCATTTAGTGCACCAATATAGTCATAATAGAAGTACCAGAAGGAGAACAGAGTGAAAAACGGGAAGAAAGAAAATTTATAGAAATAATAATTAAAAACTTCCCAAATGGATGCAAAACATTAATCCACACACCCATGAAGCTCAACAACCTCCAAGCAAGACAAAATCAAAGATATCCATGCCTAGATACATCCAAATCAAAATGCTGAAAACCAAAAGTAAAGAGAAAAATCTTGAAATCAATAAGAGCAAAACTACTCATCACGTACAAGAGAATCTCAATAACCTTAACAGCTGACTTCTCTATCTGAAACAAGGGAGGCCAGAGGACAACGGAATAACAAATTCAGTGTTGAAACTGAAAAATTGTCAACCAAGAAGCTTATATCCAGTGAAACTATATTTCAATAATGAAGATCAAGTAAAGAAATAAAGGTAGATGAAAGCTTAAAGAATTTTCTGCTAACAGGTCTACTTTGAAAAAAAAAACCAAATAAAGGGAGATCTTTGGGCTGAAGTCAAGTGATTTAGAACATTATCCTCACAAAAATAAAAATAACTAAAAAGGAATACTATAAATAACTGTACGCCAACAAATTATGTAACTTAGATAAATGGATAAATTCCTAGAAAGACACAAACTACTAAAAATGTCTCAAGAAGGAATAGAAAAAAATGAATAGATCTATAACAAGGAAAGACACTGAATTAATCATTAACATCTTTTCACAAAGCAAGATCAGGACCAGATGACTTCACTGGTGAATTCTACCAAAACCTTAAAGAATTAATACAATCTTTCACAAACTCTTCCAGAGAATAGAAGACAAGGTAATATTTTCCAACTGATTCTCTGTAGGCAGAATTACCCCGATACCAAACCAGACAAAGATATCACAACAAAATAAAACTACAGATCAATATTCTTTAAGAATATAGATGTAAAACTACTCAAAAAAATATTAGTAAACTGAATGTGGTAACAAATAAAAGCTTATACACCATAACCAAGTGGGATTTATCCCAGGAATGCAAGGTTGGTAACATCTGAAAAACAATTAATGTAACAAACATTAATTGGGGAAAGAATAGCCTTTACAACAGATGATGCTGAGACAACTAAATGACCACATGTGAAAGAATGAAGTTTGACTCTTACCTCACACCATCTACAAAAAGTAACTCACAGACCTAAATGTAAGAGCTAAGACTAAACTCTTAGAAGAAAATACAGGAATAAATCTTTGTGACCTTGGTTTAGGCAATAGTATCTTAGACATAAATAAGCAACAAAAGAAAATTTAGATAAATTGTGCTCAATGAAAATTAAAGACTTTTCTGCAGCAAACATTACCATCAAGAAAGTGAAAAGACAATCCATAGAATGGGAGGGATCACTAGCAAATCATACATCTGATAAGGGACTTGTATCAAGAATACATGAAGAGCTTTTACAACTCAATAATAAAAATTCAAATAGCATAATTAAAAATTGGGCAAAGGATATGAATATGCATTTCTCCAAAGAAGATATACAAATGGCCAATAAGAACACAGCAGGATGCTCAACATCATTAGTTATTAGGGAAATGCAAATCAAAACCACAATGAGACACCACTTCAGATCCACTAGCACAGCTATAACCAAAAAGACAGATAATGACAAGGGTCAACAAATACATGTAAAAATTAGAATACATTAGTGGAAATGTAAAATGATGCAGTCACTTTGGAAAACAGTTTGGCAATTCCTCTAAAAGTTAAACATAGAGTTACTATATGACCCAGCAATTCTACTCCGTGGTATATACACAAGAGAAATAAAAACATGTGTCCATACAAAAACTTATGCATGAATGTTTATAGCAGCATTATTCATAATAGCAAAAGGTGGAAAAAAAAGTGTCTATCAACTGATTAATGGATAAATAAAAAGTGGTATATCCATAAAATGGAGTATTCAACAGTAAAAATGAATTAAGTACTGATACATGCTACAATGTAGATGAACCTGGAAAACATTATGCTACAAGAAAGAAGTCAGTCACAAAAGACTACATAATGTATGATCCCACTCATGTGAAATATCCAGAATAGGCAAATCCATAGACAGAAAGCAAACTAGTGACTATCTAGGGCTTAGCAGGGAGTTAGGGAAGGGATGGAGAGTACAGCAAATGAATATGGAGTTTCTTTTTGAGGTAATGAAAATGTTCTACAACTATATTGTGGTGGTAGTTGCACCATTCTGTGAACCTACTAAAAACCACTGAATTGTATATTTTAAATGGGTGAATATTATGATGTGTGAATTATATCTCAATGAGGATTTTTTTTTTAAACTAACCGTTCACTTCTCTACCAGGTCTTCCTCTTGGCATTAGAGAAAGTGAAAAGTTTCTATAACCTTTTTAGAGAAGGTCAACTAATTTCTATAAACTAGTTCCTCTGCCATAGAGAAATAGTCTATGAATACATGAATAGTCCATGAGGGGTCCATAGGAAAACAGTCCATGAATAGTCCAAGACTGGCTGATCGTTCGCTGTTGACTGGTTATACATCCTGATGTAGGCATTTATACTGTCTGATGAAGCTGAGCGAGGGTGCTGATAAGTAAAGGTAGAACTCCACCCTGGATAGTTCTTTGCATTAAAAGACTCAGATTCTGTAAAAGTAATTAACTCAAATCAAATCAAGGCTCTGTTTCCTATTTCATTAATTTTAAGAAATTCTGCACACCGAGGCCACTTAGAAGAAGTCATAGTTTTTGTATCCTATTTACTTATATCTCAATTCTCTACAGAGTGATACTAATGTTACACTACATAGAAATTATTAAGTGTTAGGGCAGATAAGTATCATGGGCCAATAGCTGTAGATTCTTCATTTAAAAAATGACCCCACACAATCAGCTTTCTTTCAGAAAAGAAATAGAAAAAAGAAAGGAAGGAAAGGAAAAAAAGGGTATAAGACTAGAGAACTCATTAAGCCAATGGAATGGGAAATGATTATATCTTCTTTTTTATCACTCAAATTATAATATGAATCATGCATAATATAATAAATTATGTCACATGACATTAGTCTTTTTTTTTTTTTTTGGTGAGGAAGATGGGCCCTGAGTTAACATCTGTTGCCAATCTTCCTCTTTTTGCTTGAGGAAGATTGTCTCTGAGCTAACAGCTGTGTCAATCTTCCTCTATTTTTTGTGTATGGGATCCCACCACAGCATAGCTTGATGAGTGGTGTGTAGGTCCATGCTTGGGATCTGAACCCACAAACCCCAGGCTGTGGAAACAGAGCCTGCGAACCTAACCACTACACCACTGGGCCAGCCTGACGACACTAGTTTTATAAAGTACACAGCAAACTGACTTGAAAAAGACAAACAATACCTTCTGGGGGAGTCCCAATGCTGCTGCCAAGACCCAAAATAGCCATCTTGTGATTCCGGGGCTCCAGCATCACAGCAGACTCTTCTCCTCTTTCCCAGTGGGGTATTTTGACTGGCTCCAGGTGGACATTCTCCAGCCCATCTTCCTGCAGGTTTTGGTACATGATTTGGATGGCTTTTTCTAGGCTCTTGGAGCCACTTAGTCTGGGTCCAACAGTATCAACCAGAAGTGCCAATCGCTCATAGGATCTGTTCTGGGCTTTACCATAAACAGCAAGGTTGATGATTGCTTTAGCAACATCTCCATAGCAGGCTATTTCTTCTTTTATTTCTTGAAAAGTCTTTTGAGAGATGCCATTTCTATATATAGCTTTCCCAGAGTTCGTGGATAAAAGGTGAACAACACCAACAAATGTGAAGAGAAGGAACTTCATTGTTTTTTCCAGTTGGTTTTCTTCCTAAAATAACCTATGTAAGTAAGAAACATGTTTTAGGAAAAAAGGTTCTCACAGCTCTTTGTCCATAACCCAGGGATTGCTCTTCAAACGGGATTCCCCTTCCCTTCTCAACAGTTGCTCAACTTCCACCATCAAATTCAGGCACCATAACACCCAGGAATGAAGAAGTAAAGAGGCAATAATTGGCCTTATTAATAAGGTAGCATTTATTAAAATAACAGAATCATATTACCTAGTAATCCAGTTTAAAATATGCTAAAAGATTAAAATAAGAAGATAACTAGGAAGGAGAGGAAGAAACAGTGGTAGCAGCAGTGGTAGCAGGGTCAGGGCTAGGACAGTATTATCTGCTGTCCCGCCCTCTAGAGTATGATCCAAATGGGTTTCAGTGTTCTCTCTCCTTGATATGCTGTTTCCTCTTTGCCTCCTGAACTCCTCTTTTGAGGCCCTCTCAGATGTTATCTTTTCTTGGTTTCCCTAACCCCACCTCTTCCACATTTAATCCTCACAACAACTCTATGAGGTAGTTTCTTATTATTACTTGCATTTTACAAATGAGGATCCTAAGGTATCAAGAGATTAATTAACTTGCCAAAGACAAACAAAAGCTTTCTAACTCTAGAGTCCATACTCTAAACAGTGCTACTCAAAGTATGGTTTGTGGACCTACACCAGTCCACAACTGTTTTTCACTACAACAGATAAATACAGAGATTAAAAGTAAACATATCCAGTGCTGTGCAATACAGCAGCCAATAGTCTCATGTGGTTATTTCTATTTAAATTAGTTTCAATGAAATAGAACTAAATATTCAGTTTCTCTGTCATACTAGCCACATTCCAAATGCTCAATAGCTACATGTTGTTAGTGGCTACCATACTGGGCAGTACAGACAGACCATTTCTATCCTCATAGAAAGTTCCACTGGCTATCACTGGTTTAGACACCTTTATAGACAACTGAAAAAATAACTGTATAATTGTCAAATCTAATGATTTAAAAATGGAACTTCTCTTTGTATGTCTCTGTTATTTCATTTTTCTAACTCACTGCTATTGTATTTTGCAAAAGTATCAGTCTGCAACAAATTAAAATTTAAAAAACTGATCCTTTATCAGAGATAATTTGAGAAGCACAGTCAAAAACTACTATATTATAAGGATAAATTCCATATTCAGTCAGCATACAAGGCCTCTCAAAATATGGCTCCAATGACTACTTCAGCCTCATTGCTCCACTTACCCTCTAGAGCACACACATTTTCATTCTTTTTCTCACTCTCTTTTCCTCTCTTTCTTTCTCTATCTTTCTCTCTCTCACATACACACTCACACATCTCTAAGCTTCTAGATACTGAGCACTTGAAATGTGGCTTATCCAAATTGAGATGTTTTGTAAGTGCAAAATGCATACCTGATTTGATCCTTAAAATCAAATACTTCATACTTAAGTATGAAAAAACAACAAATATTTCAGATGTATTGGATTAAATAAAATATATTATTTTTAATTTCACCTGTTTCTTCGTACTTTTTAAATGACTATTAGAAAATTTTAACTCCTATATTCATATTTATATTGCACAGTAGTGCTCCAGCTGGATTGAACTTGACATTGTTCTTCAAACACCCAGGTGTTTTCATAACTCTAGGTCTCTCCATATATTCATTCTCTTTTTCTGCAAGGTCCTTCTGCTCACCCTCTTCCCCTTCTTCTGCCAAATGTCTCCACTTACTCTTTAATGAGAATGCTTTAAAAATCAGCTCTTCTGTGGTGCACCATTTTCTGTGCTTCTACCATAATCAACTATACTCTCAACTAATATATTCGTTTATAAATCTGTCTCTCCTACTCTCAAAGTCAAGGAGGGTAAATTATTCATCATTGTACCTTCAATCATTGTCCCCATATATAGGCACTCAATGCACTTCTGTTTAAGGAATGAATGAGCCTTTAATCTCTCCAGGTCTTAGCTTCCCTAGGGTATGAGAGTACTTGTCTTGCCTCCTTCACAAAGAAACTATGGGAATAAAAACTTGCTATCACACTTCAAGTATTTTGAAAAATTATGAAAACTATACATTACTACTGCTTTTCTTTTTATTATAACTATTTACATGTATGGGTTCTTGGTTTCCACAGTTACCACACTATCAGTACTTTATATAGTTTACTAAGATCAAAGTGACAAAACAATGAACTACATGAGAAATCACCTAGAACACTTGACATAAGTAAATAGTAAATATATGTTAATTGATTCTAAATCTGGTTTTCCCTGGCACACAATCTGAAAATTACTGATGCAATTCTTGGCTAGAATGCATAATTATATATCTCTTCAAAAGAGCACTCAAGAATCTTTTATTATTATTGTTTTTAGAAAGGTACGTTAGTCCAACTAAGATATGTTTTCATTAATAAATAGAAAATAATAATTATTATTAACAGTCTATATTTGGAGAGAGAACAAAAATGGAACAAGACATTGCTATATCACATTCCACTTAAGAAAAACACTGTAAAATATAATATGTAATTTAAAAACACAGGGACTGAAATCTGATACATAATTTGTATATTCTTAGCAAGAAATAGAGATTTATAGTAAAAACTAAAACAGTGAAATATACAGACAGAATAAGCCCAAATGAAGCCAATAATCAAGGACAACTTGAAATTCTCTCCTAATTCATAGATTTAGGGTCATCACACATCAAAAATTCATCCTAGAATGGAGTCAATCCAAATGAGAAGGAGGATCAAAGGCACCAGTTTATTTGCATGAAACGACTAAAAACACTAGCCCTCCTCAGTGTGAGAAGACATAGTCCAAAAGTAGAAATGTTTTGACTTATAAAATCAAGAAGAGTTTGGATAACATGAATATAGATTTACTCACCAAATATTTTCATATTAGTACCAGGGAATAGCCCTAGTAGCTCAGAGCCAATTTTAGGAAAATAAAAATGCACAATCTTACAAAATGAGTGATAAGCATGTAAACAGCTTACCTAAGAAAAGACAGGATTGGATACTGTGAATGATACAGTCATTGGAAGCTGAACGATTTTAAACCTACCACAAGGCAGTGGCACCACACTGACCCAAGTAAAGTTCCCCTTTGGATCACCAAGAGGGTTGGCTGATCCGAAAGACTGTTAGTCTGTCCTAGCTCAGAAATACAAATGTACCCATACAGTCATTTCAATCAAGTAACATTAAGGAAGCTACAGTAATATTTTTCATAGCCTGCAAAGGGAGAAAATAATTCTATGGTGAACAACAAAGACAAATAGTTTTACTCATCTCAAATATTTCCTCTTTATTAATTGTAAATGGTGTTTCATTTTGGGTCATAATTTCATCTCTCCATTCATTTAACAAAAATGTATTGAGCACCTACTAAGCACTGAATACACAAATGGATAGGATATACAGAGAGCTGTCATGTATAACAGGAGACAGATAACGTGAAAGCCCTCATAACTAAGGTAGTTACAAGGTTCTGTGAGAACAGAGGGGAGGAGGAGATTGGGAGGACATATGCTTGAGCTGAGATCTGAAGGGTGAGCAGAAGTTTACTGATGGGCATGTGAAGAAGGTAGGAGTGGCACTGAAGAAAAGGTAACCCAACAGAGGAAACAACCCATGCAAAGACAGAGAGGCTTTACAAAACTGGTCTAGGGAGAAAAGAGCAAGAAGTCAAGTGATAAGTGGTTGAAAACGGTGGAATATACAGCAGTAACAGGAAGGAATCATTCCCCAAAGTTGAACTGAAAGGTCTACTGTGTGATGCCCCAACATATATGGAATGAAATGCCCTAGGGTGCTGTATCAGGTGATACAATGAATATTTCCCACCTCTCATGCAGCCAGGAAAAGGAAAGAAGGAAGAAAGGAAGGGAGGGAGGGAGGAAGGAAGGAAGGAAGGAAAGAAAGAAGAGGAAGGGAGGAGAGGGGAGGGGAAGGGAGGGAGAGAAAGAGAAGAAAAGTTTCTTTCTGATCTGCACTACACCTTGTCTCCTTAGCACAGAAAATTTATCCAGATTCCACATGAAGACAAGGACAGCATATGAAGTTCCTCAAAAATCCCTAAACAAGGCTCTACTTATTACCTACCTGGTTACACCTTTGAATTTTCACAGAGGGAAAAGTAACCCATGCTTACAAAAGATGCATTAGTTGACCAATTCATTTACAAATACACTCAAGATCTTCTTTCACTTAAAATCTGTAAAATACTAATAACCCAATTGAGAAAAAAAATTTAGTGCACTCAGGAAATTATAGGACATTTGGAACGTCTAAAGTTAAACTGCACAACATTTTTAAAAAATACTCTTTATTCTTATACACAAAATGTTGTTCCTTTACTCGAATTCAAATTATGGAAATATCAAATGTTATACCCTTTGAAATCTTAAACAATTATTTTTAAAACCCATGCTGCATCATGCCTTTGAATTCAGAAAGCTATATAGTCAAAGGAAACTTTGGAGCACTATTTGAAAAAGACTTGCTTTTCATATATTGTGTTCATGATCCATAGTTACAGATTATCTTTTTCACAAAGAGAGATAAAGTTCCTTATAATGTCATTTTCATTGTTTTCTGCTTAAATCTGGAGGCAAACTAAAGCAAAACCGACTTTTCTCCTACTGTGAATTATATTCTCTCTAATAATAGGTTTATATTCTGAGGAAACAAAACAAAACCCTTTGCTTCTATTTCTAAATATTTTTACTAAAATATTATTGTTTGAAAACGTCTGAGCCTATGATAGAAATGCCAGATGAATAGACTAAGTGAAGTGGAAAAGGACACAAAGAAAAGAGAATGTGCTGAAAGACAGGAGTAAGATTTAAGGACTCAGATTTTTATTGATTTTTTTATTGTGTCACTTTTTCTTCTAAAGAATGAATATACTGCTTACATGAAAACTTAAATATTTCCCCTAAATCTTCCATTCCTG